CTGAATGCCATTTTCAGAACTTCTAATTCAGGAAGTTTGAGATGAGACCAAGGATTTGCATGTTTAGGAAGGTCCCAGCTTCTGCTGTTGCTGCTGCTGCACAAAGGGGATCACACCCTAACAGTCCCTCTATCATGATTTTTCCTTTTCATGTTTCCCATCCATTCTTCTTGAAATCTTCCCCTGAAGCATCTTACCCCTCAATGCCTCTCTCCCTTTCCCTGCCTTCCTCTTCCCTTCTTTTCCCTATTGAAGGCTCAAGTGTCTCTCCCATCCCAAGTAACTTTCTTTTCTAGTAAGGAGAAAGTATTGCTTTTCTTAAAAATTGAGATCCCAAGGAGGTACTTGTCTACCCCTCCTTCTTTCTGGCTGACAGGTTAGTTGTGAGACATGTGGGACAGTATGGGCTAGCTAGGACATGAGGTTCCCATAGCTGAGAGAGCTGCCAGGGGCTAGTTCAGTCTGGCTTGGATTCCATCTGACAGACAGCAGGTCAAATTTTATGTTCCTGTGCCCAGGGGGAGTGCAGAGGACATGCAGTCATACACAGGTTAGCCCTTGGGCAAATGTTATGTTCCACACCCCAAACCAATCATGACAGATAGTCTCATTTCTGGAGCTAGGGTCAGAGCCTGGGCTCTGGCTACCCTAGCAAGCCAGGTTTACCAAATAAAAAGACTTAATAGAGAAAGCAGAAAAGGAGAGATACTGACTGTGGCTTCATAGGGAAGATGAACAAAGAGGTCTAGTACCTCCCCTACTGCCTGTCAAGCTCATGTCTCAGGGCCTAACCTGAGGTTTAGGTTTAAATAGAGGACCAGAGGTGTGTAGAACTAGCCAATCTCCATTAAAGCACTGTCCCGCCCCTCATCTTTGTTTCAGCTCCAATCTCTTCTGCTACAGAGTGTGCCAAACTGTCAATCTCTTTCTAGGAGCTCTTTCCCTTCTGGCTGAACCAGACTTCAGCCCTTTCCTTCTCCAAGTGTGAGATTCCTGGGAAATTCCACTTCCTTGGGGTCCAGTTGTCTCAATAGTCTAAAGCCAAAGAAAGTAATTCAAGTGTCTCTATAGAGTATCTTCACTCCTGCCTGCAACATTACATTCTTGGATTTGAGTAAGCCAGACCTGAGTCCATTAGAGGATGTATTAACCACCTACCACTGGACCCTGTGTCTATAGCTATAGCTGGTCATTAAGCAGGTATGGGATGGAGGTGGGGGGTGTGACTAACCTCACTAGTTTGTCCATGACTAAGGGTTCCCAGGACACACAACCTTCAATACTGGAGTTAGGCAAGTCCTTAGGGGGATAGGGAGTTGGGCACTTTGGGGAACTAGAAACTGCATGTCTACCAAGATCCCAGGTGAGGAATCTGCTGCTGGTCCTCAGTCTGGATTTTGAGGGCCACTCCTTAAGTGCGCCCAAGAACTGAGGATTGTTGGCCCTGGAGTCTTCTTTAGACTCTGAGCGGGGCCAAAGTCAAGCCTCCTGACTGGAATTAGCAATGAGGAATGTGGGTGTGTCCTCAGAGAAAGATAGCCAAAGTGATGGAGGTTAGAGGAAGAGAATTGGTGAGAAAGAGGGGTTCAGGAGTGAGACGACATCAGAGCTGACGCTGCATGTAGTCTGGGTATCCTCACTGGAATAGGCTAGTGTCTTGGGAACAAGTGAAGCTATGTAACGAAAGAAAGTGTTTGACAGGCCTGAGTAATATTGGAGCAACCGGCTCTGGGAAAGAATTAGGAAGGAAAACAGTAATAACTGGGGTCAGATCAAATGCAGAGCTTAAACTGTTGACATGCAAAAGGGTGCATTGGCTATATCTACTTACTTCTCTGAGTTAGAGTGTGGGGAGAGTTTGGTGTAGGTCACAATGAACAGCTTGGGTAGGGCCACAGTGGATCCTCCGTATCCCTGAATGTTACCAAGTTCAAATGCCGAAAACACTCACAGGGTCTGGAACCTGGGTGGGATGTGGCCCGATGTGATTATTGGCTGCATAAAACTGAATATAAACACAGAGCTTTTAAGGCTGTACAGTCAGCCAGTATTGGAGTCCACTTATTTGGTGCTTGGATTTGCACAGAGAGCTGTCTCACAGAGCAAACCTGGGCATCCTAGACCCATAGTCAGATTCTGACATTCTAAGCTTCTCATCCCAGTGTCTCTGACAATGGGTGTTTGGCTGATCCCCTTGTTGTCTTGGCTGGCCTCCATCCTTGTGTGCCTACCCTGCCAGGAAACTTCTGGGAGTCTTGGAATAGATGATCCGTATCATAAACAGATTCAGTTATCTGTTAGTTGGCACCTACTGTTTCATTTTTCTGCCAGATGATCACCATGTCTCTTGAACTGATACAACCCAAGTGCATGCTGGGTGTGGACCCAGTGGTGTCCTTCTCAGAGAGTAAACATGGAATGGATCCTTGTTGAGGGAAGAAGTAGAGTAAACCCATAAAACATCTCTTCCCCTAAAAGGTTATGCTTGTCTTTCTAAATTTGTTATCCTCGGGGTTGGTCTTTATCCAGTCTTAAACCCTTTATGCAAATAATGTTGCTGAACCCACCTCAACGGTAGTAGAGTCAGCTTGTACTCCAGTTGTGATAAACTTCCGTCATTCTCACCTACTTAATTTCATTGAGAGGTAAGCTGAATCTAGGGAGCTTTGAGACAAATGTTTGGGAGTGAACTATCTTTCCCACTAGTATGTCCATGTCCCCCATGGTTTATGAATCCTGTCTCTGATAAGCCACAGGCATGTGTTTGTGTGAAGATTTGATGATTAGCAGCAGACTTCTTTAAATGGCTTTTACACACAATGCCTTGCAGAACTAGAATCATCATGAGCCCAATGGGATGACTCAAGGTTTACAGCTCTATACTTTGATTTCTACAGAAGGGAAGGGCTACTGTCTCAGGTATCTGCTCAGTTAGGGGGTTATAGAGATCTCAAACGGCCAATGCTGAATCCCAGTTGATTCTTGTCATAATGGTATCATTGTCATCATCTCCTTGTTGGTGGAGAACACCTACAAAAAGTCTCTAAGAGGTGGGTACTGAATTCAAGGGCATGAAAAAGCTCAGCTGCCTCCCTAGGGAATCTGTCTTGTGAGGAGTGCTGAGATGAGCCAGGAGGGAGGCAGATAAGATGTAAATAGGCTTAATCCCCCACCCACCCCAACCCTCCCTAGTCCTCTCCTCTCTCTTCAAACCCTGCTGGCATGATGAGCACCTGTGCATTCAGCACCCTGGCATCTGGGGTGACACAGAGCAGCATGGAGTCCTGCTCATTCCCTGGGACAGAGGACAGCCAGGGTGATGCCTGAGGTGTGAAGTTGCATGCCTCAATTGTAGCCTGAGTCTGCCTCACTTCCCCTGACCTGGGCTGTTTTGCTTGCTTGTTTTTGCCTGAGGCTCTGTATGGCTGGGGAGATGCCAGTCAGCCATTCTCAGAGGGAAAAGAGAATTTGATTGACAGCACAGAGACCTGGCCTCCAAACCTGGACCTGCCATTTTCAGCTCCTTGAACTTGGGAGAACTACTTCACATGTGGGTTTCCCTCTCTCTAAGGTGGCTAGGTCTTTGGAGATCTTTGCTCTTTGGAGTGTCACAAACATTAGTGACAAGGGGAACACCTGAAATCTTATTAGGAAGAATCTTAAGCCCTCTCCAGATTCATTGAACCTGAAACTGCATTCAAGAGGATGTAGACAGTAGAGGAAGTGTGGCTCCACAGTCTCCATTAGCCTTTGGCCTTGAGCTTCTCCATCCTAAGGAGTTCTAGAGCTTTGTCTCTGTAAATGTGCAGCTGTGGACTGAGCTTTGCCCTAGAGGAATTTCCCCATTTCCACATGTGTGGTGTGCTATCCCTTCCCTGTAGTAGCTCTCAAAGGTAGCAAAAATATATTTGATGAATTTCCGGAGCTCTTCTCTGTGAGCCAACATCTTCTTCTATGGTGTTAATCTAAGGGTTTGGTTGGGGATAGCCAGCTGGAATGTGCTATCACAGATTGTTGGACACTTGCTCTCCAAGGTCATGATCAGATGCTCCAACCTGTAAGAGCATGTCCACTAATTAGGGAGATGATTAAGAGTCAAGCTCATGCCTTCTATGCAAACCCAGCACATACACACTGAGTCTTTATCTTGCACATTACCAGACAGAGAGCAGGTGGAAAAAAGGTGCAAATGGCATCTGGGATTCCCCGCAGAGAGGGCTTTGTGTGAGATGGGAACCAGCCAATTTTAGCTCTTTCAGTCTTTCTCTGGTGAACATATGCTGAGTGTGAGCCTAGTTTTCCCCTGTGAGTGTAGATGAAGTTGTTGCTGAGAGCCAGAGACTATATTTGGTACCCAGCCCAAAGAAACAGAGATTGGTTCCATTTCTAGAATTAAATAACAGTAGTAACAACAACAACAACAACAACAAAATACCCAACTGTGTCAGTCTCATGAAGAGAAGTTAGGAAGACTACGGCACAGTATCTTTCTAAGGACTTGGTTACTAGTCACATATCTTTCTGTAATAATAGCAGGACCTCAAGTAAAAAGATCTGGTCTCTTCTGGTTATGGGGGCAGCTCCTCCCGACACATTTCCAACTGGCACTATCAATAGGGTTATGAATGAAGGAGGTCAAAGAAGGTTCTGGATAGGATCTTAATCTTTCTTTTAACTGATTTTTTTTTCATGATATCATTTCAGGTTTCTGAGTCCATCGTAATACTGAGGAGCCAAGCTGCTAGCTGAGCCCAGAGATGCCAGAAGAGTCTCCCTGGTGGGGCTAACCCTTGTGCTCTGTGTGTTCCCTTGTGGGGTGGCAGTATACTCAAAGTAGACTCCTGGGATAAATAAATGGAAAGACAGTGCTCTAAAGCTGAGGGTGTGAGGAGATTATGTCACCATGCAGACTCGGAATAACATCATGACACACACATAATAATATGTCCATTTCTTTCTGTAGGCAAATACCTCATATCATAAATGGTGGAAGACATCTTAAAGGAAACATGCAGATTTAGTGCATAATATAAATACCGAGTACAAAATCAGACCATGGGGAATATAAATTAGTGGCACAGGTCAACTTGAATGACATCTTTGTGATTGTCCCTGGAAAGGTGGTCTTTAGTAGATCCTGGGATCAGGCTGTAGAAGACGACATGTAATTTAGACTAGAAATGTAGTTTTATCCTTTAAGTCATGAACAACACACAGACAACACAGCAGAGTCCTACTTTGCTTATCAGAAAAAGTGCCTGGAGGTTTCACGTGACCTGGAGCACACTGTCAGCAGCCCCCATGGCTTCCCTCTGCACCTAGGTGGGCCTGTGTGAACAATGCCAGCATGTTCCCCAGTCAGGAGAGTCCCTGTGTGTACACTGCTGCCTGTGCATTCATGTTGTGGTCTCCATGTTAGAATCAGCTTCTGTGTCTCCTCTGGGCGGTGTGATGAAGAGGAACCAGAGTCTTGGAGTCTAGTTCATGTCTAAGGGACATGGCAACAGTACTGTGTGATGCATGCTCATGGGAGACTCCAATTGGGTCGTCTGTGCTTAATTTCAGTTGGCAGTTCTTTGAAAAGACTTTGACCGGAGGTTTCTTTGTTATCTAAACCTGTAATAGAGTGGTTCCTGTAAAAGCCCCACTGGTGGAACTTCATGACTTCTTGGTCCTCCACAAACTTCTGGAGTGGTGTAGCAGCATCAGTGGTTTGGCACGGGGAGCTTGGGCTCCAGACAGAGCCCTGGTATTCACAGTCATTTGTGGCTATCCCAGTGGGTGATACGAAAGCGTCATCATCGCAGCATCTGGGTCTTCTTGGATACTATCAGAGGGTATGCTGCAAAGACCAGACACCTTGATTTGATTCTTCTGTGCCAGACAGACCCATGCTGGACAAAAGTAGACAAACATGCATCAGACAAGACTCAATGACCAGACCTGGGTCTGAATCCCAGCGCTATCCCTAGATACCCACCAATTTCCCTTGGAGTACTTTGAACAGATCTGAGACTCAGATTTCTTCCATCTATAAAATGGAGCTTTGAAGGCTTTGTTCTGACTTGGAAGCAATGAGTGAGACCTGAAAATAAGCCATTGATTCATCTGCTTACAAACAAGGTGCTTATCAAGTATTAGATCCTTAACAACAAAGCTAATACCTCATTTGGGGCATTTGATTCCAATCCCTGCCCTATTCCTAGAAGTCCATCTTTGTTCATCACTCAAACTCCCTTTCCGTCCTCTGCTCACCCTCATTCAATTCCCTGTACCTACCCCACCCCCTAGAAAGGAATCCTATGCTATCAGGCTACTGTCCTACCTCCTTAATTTCATCACCAAACACTTTGGAGACCACTCTGCACCCAGGCCTTGTACATCTCATCAGCCACTCCACACATAGCACTCATCTGATCCTTCCCTACTGCTCACTGATAAAGGCTCATTGCTGAGACTCGTGACCTTTCCTGAGGGTTCAGTGCCTCTGAAACATACCATGGCCAGTCCCCATGCTGTCGATCATGTCTTCCTTTGTCCTCTTTGCCACATTCATCATGGTGCGCCCTTATTATTACTGGGACTTTCACTTGAGCTACTTGGAACCTGTGCTCCTTGTCTTATTCTCTAAGTGCAGGCATGGTCCACAGCCCTGACTTCGTCTCCCATGGGCCAGACACTTGCCATGTCTTTTCATAAAGAGCCAGATAGTCAGCAGTTCAGATGTGTTAGGCTATCTGGTCTCTGGTTGAACTATCCAACCCCTCTACTACTGCATAGAGTAGCTGGGGCTATTAACAGAAGTCAAGGAATGAACTGAGGCTTTACTTACAAAAATAAGAGGCAGGCCAGATTTGGTCAGTGGTCATATCTGCCAATGCCCAGTCATATAGAAAGTTTAGCTCCAGCACTTACTGACTCTGTCATATTGCTTAAGTGGGTTAATCACTATGCCCCTTGTCATCCTAACGTCAACATCTATGATAATGATGATGATGATGAAGAAGATGATGATGATGAAGATGATGATGAGCAAGAGGAGGAGGACAAGGAGAAGGAAGGGAAAGGAAGAAGAGGAGGAGCTGTTCCATGATTCGTTTCTCAAAGCATTGATAGTATGGTGAAATGGAATAGCTGCAGTCTCTGAAGTCTGGCTCAGAGAGTCTTAATGTTCCTCCCCATGTCTCCTCTCTCCCTCAATCTTTCCCTCAGCCTCTTCTCTCTCTACAATCTCATCCATAGTCATGTCTTCGACTCTGCCTCCAGCTCCATGTCTGATCTCTTTTCTGAGCTAAGCAGTGCACACACTCAGCCCCAGGTAGGTAGTCTTGCTCTTCTGCTCCATTTGTTCTCAAATCTCTCTGTTCTTGAGAGAAACACGAATCATTTGAATTAAACAAGGCTTCTGCTGACCTCTCTTATTCTGGAAATGGTGACACTTTCTGAGCCTTTGCCACAGCCTGTCCCGGAAGGGAAGCAGGACAGGCCCATTTTGTTAGGATGTCTCTGTCCTCCCGCTCACCCCTATCTTATAAGCTATCATTTCTCTCTGAACTTCTGCTACCCAGGACTTGTACTTTCTGGGTGTTCTCCTCATCTCTGAGCCCTTACCTTCCAACTCATTTCATCCACACTGCTAAATAACCCTTTCTGGATCATAATGTGGGCTATGGCCATTCTCCTGTCTCTAATGTTGACATCCTCACCACATCAAGGACCAGGAGCCTCACTAAGTGTTAAGAGTCCTGGATGGGCTGCACTGAAGATCCCTAAGTACAATATAGCTGATTAGCCTCCCCAAGCTCTCTAATAGTTTAGTCTCTGCAGCCTTTCTCTTTCCAGGCTAACCTGGCCTATGCCATCTCTAGCTGTCAAATTCTTATCTGTTTCTCATGGCCAGGCTAGATGTCTGAATCACTCCCGGCCCCCCCCCCCCCCACACACACCCATATCCTTGGCCAGATACATAGACCTTGCTTCCAGCCAGGGGCTCTGTGATCACTCCAGCTTTCAGAGCCTATGCAAGACTGGGCTTATCTCCTGGAATGCATTTTCCTGTGTACTTTTGTGAAGCAGTGTGCACTTGCACGCTCTCTCTCCTTAGATTTGAAATCCCTGGAGAGACTTGAGAGATGCTCGGCTGTTCAGATAGCCCTAGCACTGTGTCTGTTCCGGGAATGGGCTTGCCGAACAATTGTGGTGCCCTTTTACCCAGCTAACCTTTGAGCAGACAGAACAGCAGCGTGGGCAGAGAAGAGAGGTTACCTAGTTGAAAAAGCAAATGCAGAGGAACAAGTTTCACTTTCCAGGGCTCAGGGCCATAAGCCTTGTATACCTTTTGGTCTTGATAGCAGGGTTGTGGGTGTGCTTGTTTTGTGGGTGATAGTTTCATGATGGGTGTGTACAAGTGTGAGGGAAGCCAAAGGGTGGCATATAATTAGATTGAGGTGTCTATGAGGGAGTCATGCTAGTGTATACATTGAATATCTGTGTACAATGGCGAAAGGATATATCTGCTTATGTGTAGTGTATTCATGAGTCAACATGATGAAGAAGGCAATCTGTATGCATGTGTGTTTGCTGAGCTGTAGAATGTGTGTTGTAGAGGCCAGGGAGTATATAAGTGTGTGTGTGTGTGTGTGTGTGTGTGTGTGTGTGTGTGTTTGAGGATAGGGATTGTCTTAAATTTGTAAATGGACAAGAGTCTTTACGTGACTGTGCCTGGGACTTATCTTTATGGGACATTTCCGAGAAGTAAAAATTAATAAAAATAAAATGAAGCAAACAGTCCTGGAAACACAGTGGCCAAGAGATAAAAATCAAAGCAAGGAGGTCTCGTTTTGTACACTGTTGGGCTATAAAAAGGAGCCAGTCATCCTGAAACTTTCTGGGCAGCCTTTGAGGGTTAGCACCAGTTGCCCTCTTGCCTCTGGAGAACTGGCACACTGCAGAGCAAGGCCTGGCAGAGCCTCCAGGCCACAGCTCTGTCCTACAGCAGACCAGGAATGTGACCTCCTTAACTCTGGGGCAGGGTGGAGCAGGTCCTATCTGCCTCATCTTGCACAGTCTTCGAAGGATGGGGGAGGGGATGTGGCATTGGGCTCTGAACTCAGGAGTCTGTCTCTTTTTCCTTGACCCTACTCTGATCACTGAGAACTGGCTAAACCAGTTACAATCTGCCATAAATCATAAATAAAGTTGGTGATTATACTGAGGCCAAAGGTTTCAGAATGCAAGGGAATTGGCACCAGTCATCTTGGAGAGACAGTGTTGGGCACCAAAGGAAATGTTCGCAGAAGTACTAATGTGCGATTCTGTAGTAAGCACGCTGAAAATGCAGTGTCCCGAATGAGTGGAACATGAGTGGGCAGAGAACATGTGTGGAAGGGGGATCTGGTTCCGATCCTCTCGTCTTGCTCTGTGCTGTCCCCTCTAGGGATCTTTCAAGTGTACTACCTGATCTAAGCTTTCATCTTAAAGGGGAAAAAGTGACTTGGCTAAGGCCACAGGAGAGCAGGTAACCCCACAGTAAGTGAGCAGCCTCTGGAGTAGTCATACTAAGCTGTTTCTCTGGACTACTCCACTGCAGGGAATAATGGAGGGAGAAGCTGATGGTGAGTTGGTAGCTTTGAGGGCCTCCCACACACAAAGTTTGAAGACTGGAGAAAGTTCTGTTGGAATGACCATGTTCTGCAGAGAACACACCAGGTAGCCCCTAAATCTGAAAATCCAGCTGACCTTGAAATGAAAGCCTGGCACTTGGGAGCAGCATCCATTCCCATTGCCTCTGAAAACAAAACAAAGCACCCTCTTAATACTGGGTACTGACTTAAGACTTGATCATGCTGAGGATGTTGTTTAACGGTAGAACACTTGCCTACATTCATGAGGTTCTGGTTCCTGCCCCAGCACCACCTAGGCAGAATTGATCATAATCTTTCAAGAGTGTCTATCTGAAAGGAAGGGTCCTCCACTGTTCTGGGCCAGCTAGCAGCTTGAAGACAGAGGCTTGACTGAGTGTCCTTTGCCTAGCTTGGTCACTACCAGCAACATCCTTCAAGACTGAGGTCCGGACTGATCATACTACTCCACTTTACAGGCTTGGAGACAAGTATGGAGAAAGGAAGTAACTTTCCCTAGATGGCACAGATAGGAAGGTACAAACAGGAGTCAAGCAAGATGGTTTAGAACTTCATTCCTGTCCTGGTATGGAACCAAGGTGTTGGTTTTGTTGTTGTTGTTTAAATCTGAGACAGGGTTTGTCTGAGTAGTTCTGATTGTCCTGGAATTCACTCTGTAGACCAAGCTGGCCTCAAGCTCAGAGATCCATCTGCCTCTGCTTCCTGAGTGTACTACTACCACCTGGCTTTATTGAACTAAACTTTTTAAAATAAAATTTAAACTACATTTTTTATTTATTATGTGTGCATGTGTGTGCATGTGAGCATGTGCGTGTTCGAGTGTGTGTGAGCATGTGTGAAAGCATGCCTCAGTCCAGAAGTAGAAGTCAGAGGATAACTTCCAAAGGTCAATTCTCCCCTCCTACCATGTGGGTCTCTGGGATTGTACTCAAGGCATCAGGCTTAGCAGCAGGTGCCTTTTCCTACTGTGCTACTTCAGTTATTGACTATTGAACTTCTGTTGGATGCAGGGAAGATGGGGAGGACAAGAAGTTTAGCATTGGGTATATCAAAGCTCAGATACCAATTCTTATCACTCTCTGTGGGTGATCTTTTGGAGACAGACTCAGTTAAATCCTTACAAATCCTTGCTTGTAAAAAACCCAACAGAGCCAGGTGGTGGTGGCACATGCCTTTAATCCAAGCACTCTGGAGGCAGAGACAAACAAATCTCTGTGAGTTTGAGGCCAGCCTGGTCTATAGAAAAAGTTTCAAGATAGCCAGAGCTATAAAGAGAAACCATGTCTAGGAAAACAAACAAGCAATCCATCCAACGGTAACTTATTTTCATTAAAGGAATGACCAATGTGTTTAAGAAGGCCCTTGAAGTCTGTGCTAGACTGGGCCTCTGCCTGCTGCCTGCTCTAACCCTTTCAGCCCTCGTTCTTAGTCCCTCTCTGCCACCTTCTCCTTTTAGACATGTGCTTTACCCAGTCCCTCCCCTGAAACACTTTCTAATCAAACCCCTTTCCCCTCAGTGCTCAGCCTGCTATCACCCTGGGAAGCCTGTGATTCCATCTTCCAGGTTGGTTTCCCTGTTGGAAGGTCCCTTCCTTCTTAGTCCTCTGCTCACTTCCTTACTACGCTGCTGTTAGTTTGTGTAGCCGATGTTGAGTCCCTCACCTGACAGTGAGTTCTCTGAGCTGATCTTTACAGCATCTCTGGTACCTCAACCCAGAGCCTGACTCATTCCCATGGTGCAGCAGGCAAATTGGAGCCTTCCTTGCTTCAAAGCTTCATGATATAAAGAATGAACTGATTCTTAGCATGACCAACTTTGAGGAAGAACCATGGGTTCCATGAATTCCGAGTTTGGATTCCAGGCGGGCTTATTTGTCCAGGCTACATGTCTAACAACAACACTTAACCTTCATGAGAACCCAATCGGTTACAAAGAGCCTTTCCCGTCTTCCCACGCTCAGGCCTATTTAGTGATAGCAGAGAATAGTCTCCTTGTTTCTAAGGCTAAAAATGAAGAGGCTCAACATGACGTGCACTCCATCCATGGTCACCCAACTGAGGGGCGTGGATGCCCAGTGTGGACCCTGTGGGGATTCTGATGTCTCCTTTCCTTCGTCATTCATCTTGTACTCAACCTGCTTCTGTATTCCTGAAGTTCTGAGGGCCAGATGTAATCTCCAATAAAACAATCATTATTTCCTTCCTCCATCCCAGCAAGAACCTTTGCTCCTTCGCTTCCTGATCAAAGGGGAGTGCCAAACTGCACCCTACCTGCAGGTTCCAACCCACCTTGGGAGAAGGGTATGAAGAGCAAACTGAATGTTACTCCCCTTTCGATCCCTGGGGAATAGCTGCCATCTAACTTTGGGTTGTAAGGGCCAGCCCATTGCTGTCCTTTCGGCTTCACCTCTCTGACAAAGCCTTACAGGTAGCTCTTATGTTGTTCCCTGATGTCAACTGAGCCACTTGCCTGGCTGTGACATATAACTTGGCCAATGAAATCCCAAGTCAGTCTTTAGATTTCAAGACCACTGAGGCTGGTCTGGGCATGTGTGTTGGATGCATCAGTCTTTGTGAGAGCAGGGTAGAGGCAGTGCTGAGGGAAGCAGGCTCTGCCCCACCTGTCAGGTTCAAGCAGGAGAGAAAGGCCATTCTGGATGGTTCTGCTCTGCTAGCTCCTGCACAGCCCAGTTCACACATCTCTAGGCATGCAAGGCCATTAGCAGCTACTGGGGAACTTTCCATACTTTCCCCATGCTGGAGTCACTCTCCTACCTTTCTGTATAACAGTCAAAATGGGCTCTTTTGTCTTATGTTCTGTATTGAAGGGATAATTCTTGTGTGTGTGTGTGTGTGCGTGTGCGTGTGTGATGGCAAGTGGGATCATTGTGGTCTATTAGAGGAAAAAGGAATAGTAGAGAAAATGGTCTCTAAAAAAGAGAGCATCCATTCCACCTTGTTCTGGCTCATCTCCTACATTACACTAACCCGAGCCTACATTTCTAGAATCCTTGGCTGAGGAGCAGTCATCTGCCCACCTGCCCATGCAGTCCTGGCTTGTTCCTGCCAGTCTGAACATTCTTCACCACCTTGCTAGGCAGGTCTTAAGTGTACTCACCTGGTCTTAGTGGGGCATTCTGTGTGGGGGCTTCATGTCCAGGGTCCTTGGATTCACATCTGCATATGCCACCTGCATCCCTCTTGTCCATGGCCATGCTAAAAGTCCAGCTTTTCAAGAGGTACCTCGACATTGAAGGAATACCAGGCGAGCCAGAACAGTAGGCTCAGAGCCAGGATCAGAGATCCTGTGTAGACAAAGAAGTCCCAGTAGTTTAGTGTAGCAAAGATCCCCAGCAGCAAAAGAACCAGGCCCACGGCGTCGCTCAAAAGAGCCACAATGAGGAAAAACACACAGCGCCCGAGGTGGCATCTTGTACAAGGTCTACCCAGGAGCATGGCCCAGGGAGCAGCGGGAGGAGCCCAGCTGCACTCCTGGGAGTGATTTGCATGGGAGGTGGCAGTCCTGTACTGTCTCTCCCTCTGGGTGTGAGCAAATGCATGAGCTGGTGCGTCTTGGAACAAGAAGGAAGTACACGTGGGTCCTTCTTTATGAGCATAGCAGCCAGTGGGGCAGGATATTTCTTAACTGTTTCATGGTTCAGGAATGATCCCAACCCAAACAGTATGACATCACTGTTCATTGGACTGGGCATTGCTGGGATCAGCAAGGCTATGCGGCTGAGACATGTGTCTCATGTGGATTTGCGGTCAGAGGTCCTGTGATCCTGGAAGAGGATGCCTTCCTTATTTTGTGATGTGAGAGCCAGACAGCCTGGAGGCCCGGAATACCTGAGAACGGTGGCCACACCTACTGTGGTAGAGCAAGGCCTCATGTGCCTTCTGTCCCCACTCTTCCCAGTAGGAAATGGAGGGCTTTAAAAACTAATTACATTTGTTCATTTTTGTTTATGATGCATCCTAAATTCTCTCATTCCCTACCTTCTGTTCTCTCTAACCCTCTTGTCACCCCACCCCATATGAACAAAAGTCTTTTGACACCTGTAGATTTTGAAATGATCCTGTGAGAGTTGCTTGTTCAATACCAGCCAGTGCCGTGCTTTCCTCTACTGGAGTTCCGATGGATGTGATTCCCCTAAGTGATGGACAGGAAAGATCAGAGATGGTGGAGAGTTGAGGAGACAGGGAGAGGGTAGAGTGAGAAGGTTCTCTTGCTTCTGCCTGCATTGTATTCAGTGTGGGCCAAAGGTACCTCCCACACATGAGCCCAGTTCTCCACACAGGCTCCAGCACTTCACGTGCATCACACTGTTTTCCACATCAACTAGGCTTTTGCTTGTTTCATCTCCCATGATGCCAATCTGCCCATACAGATACTGTGACCATCCCTGAGGAGCTCTGGATGCAACAGGTAAGTTTTATCATGATGGTTACTTAAAAGATGAGTAGGGTGACTATCACATGAGAAAATGTATAGCACCATGCCCTTAGCAGAGGTACAGAGGTGGGCATCTGTTCCCATTCAGGGGGAAGCCTCGGAAGAGAGACTAACCCTTCCTGAACTTCAGTTTCTCTAGATAGATGAAACAAATAATTTCTATTTCCCATTTTCCCCAACAAATGAGAATAAGCAGGAGGTTCACATTAGTTTCCTGTGTATAGAATATACTTTGAAGGGTGAGAAACTCACAGGAAACATGTTGGGGAAGGAGAGTGAGGCACCATACAAGCCAGAGGTTTCAGGATCCAAAGCACCTTAAGATTAGACCCAAGCCAGGTAGCTGAGTTGGAGCATCTCAAAGAGAGAAGTGTCTGAGGTATGCCTCTGGTCCAGCATGGCATCCCTCCTGGTATATCCTCAGAGGCTGTTCACCAATGTGGAATGCCTCCTTTCTAGGGAAGTCATGGCTCTTCCAATTTATTAGCCAGCTTTGCCTGTGAGAGTCTTGAGAAGACGATTAGTGAGCAGTGGTGGCAAACAGAACCCACACCCCCCACTCCCCATGGCTGTGACTGTGCATTGCATGGCTGACTCCCTCTGGTTCCATGTATCTTTCAGAGTCTCTCTCTCTCTCTCTCTCTCTCTCTCTCTCTCTCTCTCTCTCTCTCTCTCTCTCTCTCTGTATGTGTAGTCTAGGTAGGGTAGATAACTTATAACTTAGTGGTAATATTCTACATGATGGAAAATCCCTTGGTCTCGATCAATCAGGATGGTTGGTCAATGAACTGTTATCTTTCATGAAATGCCAAAGGAAGTTGGTAACAGGAAATCTCCATACTGCCCTATTTCTGGCCAGCCTTGCTCAGTGTCCACCCTGGCTCCATGGACTCTGCATCTCCTCAATAGTTGTACCACTACAGTTATCTCTCAGTATCCATGATGATGAGTTTTAGATTCCTGGAAGATACCAAAATCAAGTCCCTTGTACAAACAGGCTGTGTTTTTATGGCACCTATGTATACTCTCTCTATACCCCAGTGGTTGTTATATTGTATTATTTAGGAGATGATGACAGGAATAAAAGTCTGTATCTATACTAACTTGAAAATTTTTCAAGATAATTTTATTCTGAGGTTAATTAAATCTTCAGATGTAGAATCCTCAGTTACAAGGAGCTTGACTATGTCATTTTTTGTGTCTGTCTATCTGTCTCTCTCAGGCACAAACACACACACACACACACACACACACACACACACACACACACACACCACAGACACACCTCATTTCTAGTTGAAAACTTTGACATATTTACAAACAAAAGTAGCAGAATTAAAACCACTGACCATTTGGGAATCCAAATATCATTAGCATACATTTGTTGGTAATCATCATACAGATTCAGAACTATCTCTTTCCCTCAACCCCCAGGTGTGGGTTTCACTGTCTCCCTGGTTCTGCAGCTTATCATTCTCTCCTTATAAACATGGCTGCATTACTTATGGCTAACTGTAGGCTCCAGTAGACTGGCCAGAGCCCTCCCACCTGCCTGGGTCTCTTTTCTGTTCCTATTCCCTGAAGTGGCCTCTCCTGGGTGTGAAGTCAGTGTAGCTATTTGCACAGCTGGGAGAGACCAACAGGAGGCTTGGTGAAAAGCTGGGCGAGTGAGAGCAAGAGAGAAGGGCGGCTTGGAAAGAGGAGGCGGAAGACAAGAGCAGGCAGAGAGCACTGCATGGAGTAGTGGAAAAAGCTAGGGGTCCCCACCCTGCATCTGGGACAACTCATTAGTAAGAAACACTCACCTGACCCAACCAAGAGCAGCTGGTGGCACCTCTTGTTAGCAAAGACAATACCTCTCTGCCCCCTGAGACCCAGGCCATCTGCTCATCCACCAGCACCATGCCCTCTGCTGCTGCTTCAGTACATAAGCCCGACTCAGTGGCTTAAATGACAGACTGTGTTGTTTTTCAGGTAGGAGACTGAAAGTCTGAGAACAAGTGTCAGCAGGGCTGGTTCCTCTGGTGGCTCCAAGGTGTCAGAAGCTGTTCCCTCCTATCATGGCTCTGTGGGTAGCTGGCCTCTCTGCTGTCCCTGGGAGGAGGCATTTGTTGTGCTGACCTCTGCTTTCAACTTGGGGGTTGTCCCTGTGCATGTGTCTCTGTTGGTTAGGGGACGCTCTACTCGAGTCTAATCTGATATTTAATTGTATCTCCAAGGGCTGCATTTCCAAATGTGGTCATGTTCTGAGGTTCCGGGGTTAGCACTTCAGTGTATGAAGCTGGTAGACAGAATTCAATTCATAGCCTAGAAAACCAACCAGGAAATCTGTATGGATAACCTCTGACTTTCCAACTGTGGTATAGGTGGAATATTACAAGCTTCCAAACCCACTCCTCAGAGACACAGGTAATTATAAATGTCAGCACCCCACCAAAGGTGGTCTACCATATCTCCAGGCATCAGGAAGAATGCTGACATTTCATTCATTGTCCTGGCTTCACTGAAAGAAAGCCTAAGAAGGCAAGCTTTACCCTGGCTACTCTCTATCACCAAACCAATGAGCTCATAGCCCCAAACGACCCCTATATATGTACAACCTTGAAAAAAAAAAAGCACAGTTTTCCAGGTGTTGTGGGATATACCTGTAATCTCAGCTCCCAGGAGGCTTAGGCAGAAAGATCATATGTTCAAGTTTGGTCTGGACTAAATAATATCCTGCCTCAGAAATTAAAGCCAACTAAACAAACAAATTTGAGGCATATTATTATTAAAAACAATATTAATCATCCGCTAGTTGTGCAGGATCTTATGGTACAGGTAACACATGTTAGCTAATATTTGAGAAGTTCATGAATTGATAATCTGGAATGCTTAATGAACACAATGGGATAAACTCAAAACCAGGTAAAGGATAGTCTAGGTACCTGTCCACACTATGGCAAGTTTGCTTGCCACACCATGAGGTTAGTGTGTAGGGCAGGCACAGCTAGTACCCAGTCTCCAGCGTGTCCTCCAGGCTTTGTCATCTGAAGTCTCTGTCTTCAGTTCTTAGGTTTTGAGGCTCTAGTTACTTCTGTGGCTCAGAGGGATTTATTTTCCTGTTCCTGCCTCACAGCTCTGCCTCTTCTCAGCAATGGAGACTTTCGTCCCTTGACAAAGCCACCATCATGTGACATCACCCTGTGGCATCATGACATTAGATCCTACTACGCATTTAAGGCTGAGACAGGGATGAGCCAGCCCTGTGCTCAGGTGATCCTGCATCACACTTTCCAGACCTGACTCTGTGAATGACCAAGTTCCAGTCACGTCCTGGGTGGGGCCAGCCCTGCTGCCCGGTTCATTGGGCCTCCCTGCTGTGTCACAGAGCAGGACCTTGTAGAATGAATGCCGGTGGTGCCACTTACTGGCTGTGTGATCCTGAGTAACTCACTGACCCTCTCTTTCTCTCAACTTTAATCGCTGTTTCACAGGGTTATTAAAGATTAAACGGATTCACAGTTGTGAACTCAAGAGCCCACACTGTAAACCTTGTCTCTTTTTTTGTTGTTTGTTTGTTTTGTTTTTTTTGTTTTGTTTTGTTTTGTTTTTTCGAGACAGGGTTTCTCTGTGTAGCCCTGGCTGACCTGGAACTCACTCTGTAGACCAGGCTAGCCTCGAACTCTTGAACTCAGAAATCCACCTGCCTCTGCCTCCCAAGTGCTGGGATTAAAGGCATGCGCCACCACTGTCCAGCTAAACCTTGTCACTTATATCTTCAGTTTTTCAGCATTGTGTCTTCCAAGAGAAAGGAGCTATCTTTCACCCTTCCTCTCCCTTCCTCCCTCCTTTTCTGACACCCTCCCTCTGGGGGCCGGATTACAGGCGTACACTACCTCTATCCTTTACACTTTTACCAGCTTGCATGTCCCATCCTCACTAAGTCCATCAGGACACACCTAGTCCATCTCTGGAATAAACACAAACTGTAGGCACATAACCATCCCTTCCTAGACTCCTTCA